TGTTCATTAATTCTGTTGATGAACAAAGTACCAGATGATTATTTCAGCCTCCCAGGACACTCATTAGCAATCTCACTACAAGCATTCTAAGAAAAAGAAATATTGAACAGCACAATTGAGCAAGAGATTGCTAAGCTCACATCAAAAGATTTTGGGCTATTTCCCAAAGTTTCAACAAATACAAAGGTTCTTAACACAGCAGTTAATTGATACTTACAATTTATCTCACCTTGTATCTGCATAATTATCTTCCCACTTCCTTCCTCATTCCAGTTTAAATCCTACAGCAGTCTAACTACTCTATGCATCTGATGAAGTGAGCAGTAGCTCACAAAAGTGTATGCCTTTTAATTGGAAAGGATGAATCCTCATGAACACTGTGGGTGAGGTCATTTAGTTGCTCCTCTTCTACTCCAGAAAGGACTCAAAGGGCAAATAATGCCAGGTGGGTTGCCTTGCTCCCTTTTTCCCATGTGGCACGTGTCCAGTGGCTTATCAATCTTCCCATCATCCACCTTTCTTCATTTATTTCCCTCTATTTTTTTTTTATAAATAACTCCAGGTGACAAACACACCTAATACTCCTTCCCCCTATTTTATCCCACAACAACAAACCTATGCGGTAGGTTTCGCTAAGAGAAAATGACTAGCCTAAAGTCACCTAGCTGGCTTTCATGCCAAAAGCAAGACTCAAATGCACAGTCCCCAGGTTTTGAGCCTGGTGCCTTAACCACTAGAGCCCAAACTGGCTCTCAACTTAGTCATACCATGAAGCATTTGTATCTTCTGGGGTGAATGGTTGAATACAATGTGGGATCCCAGAAACTTAGTTGTAGATGATGTCATCAACATTCAAAAGAGTCGGCCTTAACCGTGCTATTAGTCTTTCCATCAGCAACCCATCTTTTCTTCATCTGCAACCCAATTTACTACGTTTTTTCTACTTCTGTGGGTCTTGCCGTTTTCCTCCTCTGTCCACTCAAAATGCTTCTTTCTGGACAGATTTGAGTTTGAGGACTGTGCCCCAATAACATCCATGAGCAGACAGAATTATCGGGCACACCCCTGTTTTGCACAATCTGATGAAAGTCTATTTTAACCTGCCTCAGCTGGGATCGGGAGAGGAAGACAACGTTATGAACATATACAGGTAGTCCTCGACTTACTTAAGACTGCAATGAAGCCCCAAATTTTTGTTGCTAATTGAAAGCATTTGTTAAGTGAATTTCATTCCGTTTTACAACTTTACATACCAGCGTTGTTAAGTGAATCACTGCAGTCATTAAGTTAGTAACCAGGTTATTAAATGAATCTGGCTTCCCCATTGACTTTCTTTGTAAGGAGGTCACAAAAGGTGAACCCAAGACCCCAGGACACTGCAAACTGTCACAGTCCAGTTGACAAGTGTCTGAATTTTGATCACGCTGCCATGGTTTTTAATCACCTGACTATGATGCCACAACGGTCGTAAGTGTGAAAAACGGTCATTAGTCACTTTTTTCAGTGCTGTTATAACTTTGAACCATCACTAAAGGCACTGTTGTAAGTCGAGGACTACTGGTAGAAGACAAGGTCTGCCAGACAGGTTCAGGCTGTGCTTAGAGTACAGAGCCCTCAGTCTTCAGGTCCGTTTCACAAGGATAGGGGAGGTGACCTCAGCTTCCCCCTCCAGCTTCCAAGAGCTGAGGCTTCCCTGAGAGGCAGGCAGCAGGTGCCTTTACTTCAGCCTACACACCCACTTGGCAAACACAGCCTGGGCGTCCGGTTCTGCACGCTCTCCGGACTTTTGTCTTTAAGGGGAGGGGAGGGGGTTGATATCCGCGCGCTTCCCTCCCAAAAAGCTTCGTGCTGTCGGTGGCTTACCCTGAATTCCCAATAAGCAGGATTTTGAGGTGTGAACGTCTGAACATGGGGCGTCTCCGCCAGAACCTGAAAAGAGAGAAGTTGGGGGCTCAGGCGTTGCCACCTCACCTGGCCCGGGAGGAGGAGGCTTCCCCCGGAATCCGCCCCCCCGCCCGTCTCTCGACGGCAGCGAGAAATCGGTAGCCTAGAGGAGAATTGGGGGCACCTTATGTTTAAAGCCCGGTTTCTTTCAGCCCCCTCTCTCCCCGCTCTTCCTCCGAGAGCACCCGTCCGCCTTTTCGTTCCTGAACCTCCGAGGGAGGGAAGGTACTGCCGAAGGAGGTCGTTCCTCACAGTTTCCTCCCAGGAGCAAGAGAAGGTGCTTGCGAGCGCGCGCAATCAGCCACGCCTGCCGCTGCTGGGACTCGGGGCTGAGCGGCGGCTCCCTGACCAAATTTTTGTCCTTCGGCGGGAAAAGAAACTCTCAGCAGCCGATAGCTTGAAAGGAGCAATTGGCCAAAGGAGGAGTCCGCTTGGATTTTCCTGTCTGCGAGAGAGGCGGTATTCCAGGCTGGCTACAACCACCTTTCAGGCCTCAGTATCAGGACTTCCTCCAGCAACTCTGAGAGGGGGAAGGACGTTTAAATAGCTCCTGAACAAGTGCAGACTACAGATAGTCCTCGACTTACACCAGTGCTTTTAGTGACTGTTCAAAGTTACAACGGCACTGAAAAAAGTGACTTATGGCCGTTTTTCACACTTATGACTGTTGCAGGTCACTCAATTTGGATGCGTGACAACTGGTTCATATTTATGACGGTTGCAGGTTCCCGGCAGGGCCATGCGATCACCTTTTGTGACTATTACCTTTGTGCAAGCAAAGCCAATGGGAAAGCCAGATTCGCTTAACGATGGTGTTGCTAACTTAGCGACTGCAGTGATTCACTTAACTGTGGCAAGAAAAGTTGTAAAACAGAGCAAAACTCACTTGACAAATTTCTCATTTAGCAACAGACATTTTGGACTCAATTGTGGTCGTAAGTCAAGGACTACCTGTACTTTCTTTTATCATTTGGCGGAACCAATCTGTGTTCTAAATAGTGTGCCGTTGGGCCAACTGAGACATTAAGCAGATTTTCAGGGCCAGGAATGATGGCCTCCTGGTCACTTGTTTCAAAATCCCTTCCTTGGAGAACAGAACACCCCACACTCCTAGATCGGGGGAGGGGGGGGCAGCGAAGGATGGTAAGAAGATCTGAAGGAAGGTCCACAGTACTATCCATGTGGTCTCCTATTATGCATAAAGCCAAGGACGGCAAAACCTTGGCTGGCCTTGGCTCCCCCTTGGGCAAATGGAGGCAGTTGCTTTGGGCCACTCATTTGGATTATCAAGAAAAAGCAATGAACCATGACTGAGTTCACTAGCGCGTATTAAATGTCAGGAATGGGGTAAGGACAGGGAGATGAATATACAGTACAGTATAGTCATCGACTTACAACAGTTCATTTAGTGACCATTCCAAGTTGCAATGGCACTGAAAAAAATGACTTACGAGGGTTTTATGACTTATTGTAACATGTCCATGGTCGTGTGATCAACATTCAGATGCTTGGTAAATGATTTATATTTATGACACTTGTCATATGATCACCTTTTGCCACTTCTGACTAGCAGTCGACTGGAAAACCAGATTCACTTAATAACTGTGTTACTAACTTAACAACTGTTGCAAAGTAAGTTGTAAAATGGGGCAAAATTCACAACTGCCTTGCTTAGCAACAGAAATTTTGGGCTCAATTATGGCAATAAGTGGAGGACTACCTCTGTGCAATTCTTCCTTAGAATGGGACTTTTTCTAAAAGAATAGAACTCTCCTCTGACATTATATACCGTAGTTAGTACATTGCAACTGGGTAATGTAAGAATGGACAAGGGGTTCAAACTCTGTCCCACATAACTTTGATTATATTTAGATGAGATAATTGATGATTTTACTCCATTGATTTCCATAGGTTTTATAAATTAATATGCCTTTTAAATGTTATACTGTGTATTAAATAGTGAGTAAATAAAAGGGAGGTGGCTTGTATTGTATAGGCAGGAGAAATTCCTTTTTCATCCTGAATCAGAAATGCATGCATGTCTTTCCAAGAAGGAAGAATTATGAGGTTATTGTAGCTCTTCATACTACAAAAGCAAAACAAAATTCAACCCATAAGTACATCTATCATGCATCGTGGTGCATGTGCAAATTGTTTTTAACTTCCATTACAGAAGTGCTTTCTGCCTTGGGTTTATTTATTTGCTTTAGTGTGTCTATGTGCAAAGGAAAATATTGTTTTTCTGCATTTTTTAATGTGGGGAGGAATTCTGTCTGCCCAGACACTATTGGTGCAGTCAGGGATGGTCTCTCTCTCTCTCTCTCCCCCCCCCCAATTTATTTACTTGGGAGTGGTAGGTTCAGTTTAAATCTAGGATTTCTGGGGTTGTTGGGGGGGGGTTGCTTTTTTTTCAGATGAATATGATATTGTTTTTCCGCAGAGCTCAAGCCCACAGTGGAACACAGCTGCGTAAAGGGTTCAGGAAGGCAAAAGAGAGAGGAGGGAGGGAGGCAGGGAGAGATGTCTGCGCAGTTATTCTCCACAAATCTGCCCGTTTCTCGACCATCTTTGTTGTTTTCACCAGCTTCATGTTAGACTGGGGGGGGGGGGGGGGGGAAATCACTGCCGGTTGTCACCATTACTCGGTCATTCGAAGTGGAAAACGCTTTGTTGATTTACACACAAGGAATCGCGGCGACGAGTCAGGGGAGGAAAGCTTCATTGCTTCTCTAATTCTCTGATGCCCAGAGCTGGATAATCAGTTACTCTGTACGGATTCCCGAAGTGTTTTTAAATGCTAAATGCAAAGAATCGATTAACAGTTCTGTAGATTTTAGAAGGGAAAGTTTTATATTCATCAGCGGGCCCGGAATTGAAAGTGCAAGACAGCAGTTATGGGTTGTTGTGTTTTTTGGTTATTATTCTGCCAGGCTCGGGAGCAATTTATAGCAATTTTAGGGTTAAAAAAAATTCTAGGGAGGAGAAAAATCAAGAGTCTTCCCCCATTCCTTTGGGCTTGGATCAGGTGACTCAGGCAAATCATATGATCAGCGACTCACTAATTGGTTGCAAAACTTTTGCTAGATTTAAAAAAAATAACATGAGTCACATACGAGAGAATGTGCTGATACCTCGATCTGCTTCACCAGCGGCAACAATAGTTAGATCTCTGCATTTATCAAGAGCTAAACTACAACCAAGCAGCAGAAATGGACTGGCAGAAAACGCTGCACAGCTGGCAGAGACGGATCTCTCAAGAACTGGACTCGGTGGTGGATTTTTGGTTACGGCATTCCCATGATAAGGAATATGGGTGAGCTTCGATCTGTGAAACGCATCTCTTAGGTTTCGTGTGCAATGCAAGCCAAGCCGATGCGGTTGGTTTACAATTCAGGGTGCTGTGTGAATTTGCAGATGGTCAGGCGTGATGCGAATATAACCTACCATTAAATTATTTAGAAAGCATATTTGAAAGGAATAGGAACCGTATGCTTGCTACTGTTGGTATTTTTAAGCAAACTGTGTTAAAATGGAAGGGATGCAGAAAGAGACCTTTTTAAGATGAGGGGATCCTGTTCCTATATAGCGCAGCCACTGTAGGCTTGTAACTCTTAGTTCTGAACAATTCCCGATTAATACTTGTGAATAATAGGCACTAATATCCAGCATACTCTGGATTCATGATGTATCATATATAAGATCCAGCTGTGGTTAGATTAACTAACCTTAATGCTAACCTTAATTTATATTTTCCTTGTGATTAGTGTTTTTTTTTAATGAACATCACTAAAGATGTTTTCTTCAGCAAAACATGGAGAAGGAAATGGTGACATTATATATGATTCAGCTCTTTCTCCTTCTCAATAGTATCCAGAATTTACTAAGATAACTTATTTCTCTTGCTACTTGAGGAAGCCAGCTACAGTTGCCTTCCTTTGAAAAATTATTGCTAATTGCCCTGTTAATGCTGTTTCTGGGAATTGCTGTTTAGTTCCTCCTTTCTTTCTCAGAGAGGTTTAAATTGCTGGCTAGGAATTCTGGGAGTTGTAGTACAATACTTTTGGAAACCAAGCTAAGGAAACCTTCAGTCTCTTTCTGGTTCTAAATGCTGCTGCCTCTTTTATTTTTCCAGAGGGTTCTTTACATGTCTGGACCAGACTGGAAAAGTTTATGATGATCTGAAATATGTATGGTTGCAAGGTCGACAGGTAACTTTTAGATTTTCTCTTTATCCCCACTGAAAGTTGGGAAAGTAAACAGAAGCAACTGATCAATCAGACAAGCTTTCTTAGTATAAGTCAAGAAAATGTGACCCTTGGGAATTTGTTGAATCCCTTCATTTGGAAAGGATATGGGATAAAAAAGATAAAAGATTCAAGTAATATGAAAAATAGATTAAGCCAAAAAGTAGGAGCATTTGGTACTTCTTCTAATTGTGTTTGGCTCTTATAATAAAAGTTATTGATACACCACATTCTTTCAACCTGGAGCAGCCATAATTTTGAGTTTAAAAGCTTATTGTAAATTACACATTTTGATTTGCATAAACCTAGGTTGATGACTGTTGTGGGCTTGGATAGCATGGGTAAATCTTAAGATTTTGATTAAACAGATACACACAAAACAGGAGGATGTTTAGCAGATTGTGGGAATACTTATACTCAGGAAAATGTTTTTAATGTAATATTTCTGTCTTGAGCTTTCACATATTTCATTACAACAGGAGAGAAGAACTGGTAGCCCTTCAGATATTGATGAACACCATTTAACCACCCCTGCCAATAAGAAATTGTAATTAGCAATGTCTAAAGCACGGGTGTCAAACCCACTGTGTTGCATTGCCGTCACTGGATGTTTTGCGAAGTTTTTCCCATTTGCAGAGTTGGGGTGGGTGTGGCCTGTATGTGATGCATCCGGCCCACAGGCCGCTAGTTTGACACCCTGGTCTAGAGAGTCACAGGTTCCACATTTCTACTTTGGAAATTAAATACAGGGTTGGTTAGTGAATAACTACAGTATGAGCAAGCACAGGCCTCTGCTTAGTGCTAAGAATGATGCACTTTAACCCCGGAAGGGAAAAATATCACAGGGTAGATGACAGAGTAGAGAGCAATCCTGTAACTTTGTTCATGTTGGGCTGCAGGCCCAGCTGTTTCCTTGTTCATCCAAAGGATCGGCTCTTGGCAAGAAAAAGATTTACCACTTTTGGTTAGATGGTGGGACATGACCCTTCCCAGAAAGCTCAGTTGGATTTCTGCAATCTTTTTTCTCCAAGGTATGGATGTATAGTCGGTTGTATCGAAAAGTACCAAGATTCCAGCGTCCAGAACTCCTACAGGCAGCAAAAGCAGGTAACTTTCCGTGCTGTGCTTTTGTTTAGGTTAACAGCCTAGGGCTTCAAGGGAACATACAGCCAACTTCCACTGACCCACCGATTTTAGTATGTGCTAATGAAAATACAGTGAAAAGATATTTTTTTCAAAGCAAAGTGCCACCCTCAAGCTCAACTCTCACTGATAATAATGCTTATGAATTACCATAAAGTGCTTTTTAAAAATAAACCAATTTGGAGATTGCAACTGAGTGCTTTGTTTAAAAGCATGTTCACAAACCAGTACTTAGTACTGATTCAGCATATCCCAAAAGTTTTAAGGGGATGTGATGACATGAGAAAATCCCTCATTTGCTTTTTGGTAAATAGATATTCTGAAGCTGACTGTGATATTTATTTTTGAGAAAGTGCCCACAACATGCTTTGAAAATTAAAGATGATGTCACTGATCTTAAACAAACAGAAGTCTTGATGTTCAGGTTAAGTTTTCAAAATTTATACGGGGCTGAATGGCTAAGTAAGTTAGGAAGGAGGAGATAACCTTGAAAGATCTAATGCTTTTGAATAGCAATGTATGTGAGGGACAAATAGACATAATGGGGGATTTATGGATTGGAATCTGAAGAAGACTGAGCTATGGTCATCAGCAGTAATCTGAACATTACTCAGTAGTATAAGATAGCTACTAGAAAGACAAATCTGATTTGTCTTTCAATAACTGCTAGAAAGACAAATCCAATTCTGGGCTGCATTAAAAGAGTGTATCAATGATACATGAAGTCATTATTCCTTTGTTCTTGGCACTGGTGAAATCTGATCTGGAATGCTGTATATGATTTTGGGTATCTGTATTTCCAGTTAGGTATTCACAAGTTAGAAAAGATTCAGAGGAGAATAATAAAAATGATACATGGATTTGAGGATCATGCCCTAAAAGGACAGGCTAAAAGACCTAGGGATGTTCAGTCTGTAGAAAAGACAAATGAGTGAAGATATTATAGGCACATAAAGGGAAACTGTAGGAAAGATGATCAAGAATTACAGTATTTTCCATGGGCAGAGACACTAGGACCAGAAATATTGCATATAAGTTGAAACTAGTTTCACTTAAATGTAAAGCGGGGGAACGACTTCCTGGCAGTAGGTTGTGGATTCATCATCTTTGAGGGTTTTAAAGAAGAGTTAGGACAGCCACCTCTTGAGGATGTTATACTTAGTTTTCCTGCACATTGAAGAAGGTTAAAATAGATGATCCATATGTTCTTTCAACTCTACATTCTGGGATTCTGTGAAATGTCATAAATAACATTTGGTGTTTACGTTCATTAAGTGATCCAAGGAACAACCCTGAAGGTAACCCTTTACAGTTGAACTGTTTTGAGGAGACAAGCTGTAGACTCAGTTTGATCTAGTGGTTAAGGCACCAGACTAAAAAGTAGGAGGCCCTGAGCTCAATTCCCATCTTAGCCATGAAAGCCAGCTGGGTAACTTTGGACCAGTTACTCTATCTTGGTCAACCCATCTCTACAAGGTTGTTGTAGGGAAAATAGGAGGGAGGTGTGTTTGCAGCCTTGAGCAGTTTGAAAAAGTAATAAAGATGGTACAAAAATAACTAAACAAAGTGAATTGCAGAGTTGTATAGTACAGGAGACTTTTGTTAAGCCTGATGTTTTTCACCGTAAGCCTATTTCTGGATTCCAGCTCACTCTCTTGGCTTTCCTGCCATGTTGGTTTTCTGTGAAGAGTTTCATAAGAAATGCATTTATAAAAGGGGAAGGGATGGGTTGAGCTCATTTTCTGGGCACAAGCTAAAAGAAATAGTGAAATACCACTATCCAGTTCCATTTCTTTTCCCAAGGAGGGGAGTTCCTGCTGAGACATGCACGAGTGGCTCCACCTTCCCAGAAATGTGCCTTTGTCCTGACCCGTGATGGCCGCCCTGTGAAAATCCAGCGTACCATTTTTAGCGAGTGTTTTTATGTTCTTGGGTTGGATGAACTTGGTCGAGCTACAGGGGAATCTCATTATCAGGTCAGACTGTGAGAATATCCCTGTTACTGAAGTTGAGTACTGATAGCTGAACTATTTCCCATTTGGCACCCTCCAGCGCTCTTGGCCTGTTTTTAGTGAGCAGGTCTCTGGTTGGGGCTGATTAAAATTGGCTCCATTTTAATCTAATGTATCTGGAGGGAGACAGCTTGGGAAAGGTTGCTGGAGAACAACATGAGTCTTCAAACCTTATTCTCCTTCCCTCTGATTAGTACCCTTTCCTGAAACTAGGCACAACTTCTAATGCATATATAGTTAAAGTGGTATAAATTGGGTAGGCCCACTTTACCTCATGATGCTGCAGTTAGAGACAGTCTTCCTGTCTCTATGGATACATGGGTTCTACTGATAGAATCTGGGAAAGAATATCCACAATGATCTCTATGGGAAATGGCCTATCAGAAGACTGAAATGATGTCTTGTGGGAATAATGCTTGGTTTTACAAGTAGTGGTTTGCAAGAAGGATTTAATTTTCCCATAGATTAATAGCTGGGCAGATGCCAATGTTGTCTACTTCATCCCAATATAAACAAAAAGTGAATAAAATGTGGTAAACCTATATATGCTGTTCTGAGCCCAGACAGTCTCAAACCACATGTTGCTCATCAACCTCTAAGCTATGAGGTCCTGTAGAATTAAGCTCTTTTTTACTCTGGGGGATAGAAGGGAACTCTGGAATAGAAAATCCATACTTGAAAGATAAAAAGTATGGTTATAATGGTATTCCTATTGGCAGAGGGAGGCCCTTGCAATGATGGAAGCCATCGTGCACTGGGTGAGAGAGGATCCCTCTGAGTTGGGTCGTCCACAGCTGGCAGGCGCTGTCCCACATGACTCTATGGCCGTCCCCATGATGCTCCTCAACTTGGTGGATCAGCTATCAGAAGGAAATGTGGAGGTTGCAAACCGCTTCAAGGAATTGGACAACTGGTCTGCTCAAAGAATACTGAGTCACCTTCAGGTAAGGAAATGGGTGTAGTCCCTCCCCATAAACATGTTTGCCTCACCTCTGATAACATTACCAGCCATCTTATTTTCTTGTAGAGGAATGGTGCTGCAGTTTTGGAGAATGTTTCTGAAGATGGCAAGGAATTGCCAGGGTGTTTGGGAAGACAGCAGAATCCTGGTAAAAAGTGACTCAGAAGCCAGGATGCTTTTGCATTCTCTAATTTGAAATATATAGAATGTATATATGATTGTATTAAACACACACACACACACGCACACCAGAGGTGGTATTCAGCAGATTCTGACCAGTTCTGGAGAACCGGTAGCGGAAATTTTGAGTAGTTCAGAGAACTGGCCTATACCACCTCTGACTGGAGATTTTACAGTATCCTTCCCCTGCCACGCCCATCAAGCCACGCCCACAGAACCAGTAGTAAAAATGTTTGAATCCCACCACTGACACACACACACACACACACACACACACACACACACACACACACACACATTCTTATAGTAGACAAAGATCAGAAGATAGTGGTAGTAATAGATGTTACTAAGTGACAACAACATCAGGAAGGAGTATAAGGAGCTGGAGAAGTACCAGACCTGAAGGAAGAATCAGAGAGGATGTGGAAAGTAAAAGCCACAGTGGTCCCAGCTGTGGGAGGAATACATTGGGCTGTAACTCCTAAGCTGGGGAGTGGCTCCCAACAGATCCCAGGAACGGCATCAGAGCTCTCTGTCCAGAAAAATGTGGTACTAAGAACAGCTAAGGTGCTACCCATAACCCTCAGGCTCCCAGGTCTCTGTCAGAGAACCCAAGATTGAGGAAGATGCAGAGTATCCATAAGGTTGAGAAGAGAATTTTGTATGGATGGATGGATGGGTGTATTTTAATCATATATTCTTTATTTGTTAAATTAAACATAACAGAAAATAGAAAGAGGAAATGCTGGTTCTACTCTACACTTCTTAATCTCTATTAGCAAAAATATATTTTATGGCAATAATTATTATATTCCCTGATGATTCAAAGAATATGAATCATTTGTTAAAATTCTGCATATATTAAATTTTTTAAAATGTGATTTTCAAAATGCAATCACAGAGTAATGGTAAAAAAAAACCCAATGCAGGCAGAGAAAAACTGCTACATAAAGATCTCAGCACAAAAAAAAATATCTGTCCAAGAAGCAATACCGTTTTAGGCAGTCCTGCTTTAGATTGAAAAAATAGTAGTTTTGATGTTCTCCATGTAAAATAATTGCTTTATACATAATTGTTATATATAAAAGAATGATAAGAATCCCTATCTAAAAACCTTGGTGTTACTGAGAGTTTATGAACAAATTACTTACAGATATAATTACATATGCATGGTTATAATGAAACATGTTAGCCTTTATTTTGTAAAATGTTATATGCATGCTTCAAAGGCTCTCATGTTCTAAACTCTGCAGGTTATGTGCAACATTTAAATTACATACTGTTAAAATTCTTTCCTGACCTTTAACTTGAAACTGGCAAAACCATGCATCATAGGCCAGTGTATTTTGAACCAAGGTACCTCAAATGGGCTAAATTACAGAATGTATCCAAAACTCAGGACCAATGTCTCCCAAGGGAATGAAATTTGGAAAAGTTGTGGCTGCTTCAGTGCTACAAGCTGCTGTTGTCGTGTGTTCTTCATTTTCAACTTTCCTTGATGGTTTCCCGGCCAGTCTAGCAATCCCTCCTCTACCCAGCCGTCGACACTTATCTCCCTGCTGGGAAGGAAAGGGAAAGGAGCAAGGAAAAGAAATTTCTGATGAGATTCCCCCAAGAAAACTCAATGGGGAAGCTAGCAGGAAGTGGGAAGTCGCTCCTACTCCTACCGCTTTTGTGTCTGCTCTTCCTCTTTCTGTTTTTCTGTTTTGGTAAGGAAATATCTCTGAAACAAATGACCCAATGGGGTACGGTTTGTCTAGTACTAATTTATGAAATTGACCGTAATTAGGAACTAGATGTTCTGAATGATTTGATTCCTTCCTGCTCGTTTTCATCTTGAGGTCATGCAATTGAAGCAGGCTGGTTCTTGCTCCGTTGTGCCAGGCGCCAGCTTAACTCAGGCCTCCAATCCCAAGCAGTGGACAAATTCATGAAACAGCCATTCCGTTCAGGCTGGGATCCTGAACATGGGGGACTCTTCGCCTTCCAAGATGTTGATGATTTCTGCCCCACTCAGGTATGGACCATAAAGTCTTATTTTCACCACAAAGCTGAAAATCCCAACCCACCCTCAAACATCTTTTTTTTTCCTATTTTTCTTTTACCCTTTTCTGCAGCTAGAGTGGAAAATGAAACTTTGGTGGCCGCACACAGAGGCCATGGTAGCATTCCTAATGGCTTTTGCTGAAACTCAAGACCAAGAGCTTCTGGAGTTATTTCACCAGGTGGCCAATTACACCTTTGCTAAGGTAACTTTGGGGACTGAATGCTGGGAATTATGGAATCTGTTTAGCCTTGAAAAATAGGCATATTACAGTTAGTTAGAAAAGAGATGGGGAAATAGAGATAGAAATAGAAAATGCTCTGTAGTAAAAACACTTCATGAATCCTTGGAAAATTGCTATTAATTTTCATATGCAATGTTAGATTTGACGGACTAAATATGGTTTTGTATGAGCATAGATATTTACTTAGTATCTGGAAGAATGTCAACACCTTAATGTATTTGATAAAATTAGATGTTATTTCTTATTTTTTTAGCTGTATGGACAGCCTATTTTTCCTTCAGAGCTCTTTGGCAACACACAAGGCAGTTTCTTCTCTCATTTTTCCCTACAACTCCTCCCTCTTTCAGGCTGACTGAGCTGAAAGAGAGTAGATGGCCCATAGTTACTCAGTGAGGTTCCATCACTGGTGGGGATTTGAACTCCTTGCTAGTCTAGCATTTTCTCCATCACAGCTTCATAATCAAAATAGAAATTGTGTGCTTTGGCTTTTTCTCCAAATGTAGCTTGTTTTTCACCACCATTATTTTTGTTACTAGAAGCCTTAAATGTGTTTCGTGTAGACCTTGAAGTTACTAGGAATCCTCCAGACTGTGCTAGACAATTCCTATCATTTCTTCTATTATCTTTAAGCTTCAGATACAGACAATGCTGTTTCATGCCTTCTCACATCCTTCCTGCTCATAGCACAAAGAACCATGAAGGGTTAGTATTTAGAAATTCTGGAAGGATTCCTAAATGGATATTGGGGACAACAACAGGATGTTGGTTCATTATCCTGTTGCTGTTTGTAACAGAACAAATGCTTTCACAACACAGCAATATTATTACTTGATCACAAATAGAGTAAAGTAGAATTCTTTATTGGCCAAGTATGATTGGACACACAAGGAATTTGTCTCCACTGCATAAGCTCCTAATGTACATATAAGCAACAAATAGTAAATCATGATCATAATCATCATAAAATACATTCATCATAAATCATAAGATACAGTACTTAGATGTCTACTATCTACTGGATGTGCATGTTTATTTTATTACTCATTAGGCTTGCACTGTTAAACAAAGACGACAAATATTTCTGTATATGCAAAATGATAAAAAATATAGAGTGCAGAAGTTGGGGAACAATCATTTTCAAAAGCGTGGCTCCTATTTGTGTGCCTTTGTAATATATCCGGAATTGACAGCCTATATGAAATAATCGTATGTTATCTTCACAGTGTTCATAGATAACATACTGGTAGTCCTTGACTTATGACAATTGAGTCCAACATTTCTTTTACTATGCAAGATGGTTGTTAAACTAATTTCCCCTCCTTTTATAACCTTCCTTGCCACAGTTGTTGAGTGAATCCTGCAGTTAAATTAGTAATATGGTTATTGGGTGAATCTGGCTTTCTTATTGACTTTGCTTGTCAGAAGATCACAAAAAGCACATGACCCCGAGACACTACAAGTGTCAAGCATATCCAGATTTTGATTATGTGACCATGGGGATGTGGCAACGGTTGTAAGTGTGAAAAACAGTCACTTTTTTCAGTGCAATTGTAACTTCATAGGCTCACTTTAAAAAATGGTTTCAAGTCAAGGAATGCTTGCATTAGGTGTTCACTGAACTTTAGTTCCCCTTTATCCTAGTCCAGCATCCTGTTGTCCACTTCTGTTCTGCTCTTTGGTTGTTCCATGTTACGTAGCATAATCACTATCATCTTTTGTTTATTCCTTAGTTCCGTGATCCAGAACTAGGAGGAGAATGGTTTGGGTATCTGAGCCAGGAAGGCCAGGTGGCTCTCACAATCAAAGGAGGGCCATTTAAAGGTAAAATAAATAAATAAAATAATAAAGGGGGAGGGGGCTTTATGTTAAAAGTAGCTGTGCAAATGGAAATCAGCAGAAATAACTTGTGAGCTCAACTGTAGAACCATAAAATAAAATGTGAGCTCAACCACAGAATGCAAAAAGTAATTTAGCAAGAGTACTTCTCATTTCTCTGCAATATATGTAAGATATAGTCCAAATGCATACATGTTGAGGGGTGAGGGGCTGAGACTTGCACTAATAATGTTACCTAGTAGAATAATGAAATGTTTGTAATCAAATAACCATGCTTGGAGAACACCCAGAACTCCACAATTCATCCCTGAGGTACAGATATTATCTTTAGTAATAATTCATTTCCTTATCCCTGTTTGTGCTTCCTTCATGGAAGTGTCCTGCTGTTGTAGATTGTCCATCAACAAGACACAACCTTAGCCTGGCAGATCTCTTCCTGGGAGTCCATTCACCCCTCCCTTCTTCCTTCCCTCCCTGGTGTAGTTGTTCCCCCTGGTGCATGTTACATCAAGGGCAGTTAGTTAAAGAACCATCACTTGGTCCTGACTGGGAAGATACCATTTTCCTTTCCACATTTCATCTTTAAGAAGGATGTTGGAGCAAAATAGTCTTGGAAAGCATGCTTAGTAAAAATCCAGCATTGATGTTAATCATAAATACAGACAACATATTATTGTGAAATGAGTAAAGAATAGGACTGTTAAACCAAATTATAGGAAACCAATAGGAAAACTAGCAATCATTATCAGTAGAAATACAGAAAATGCCAGCATTAGATGAACAGCTAAGCAAACTCCAAAATCAATGTCCCTGATGCTTCTACTTAGTTTTCTCCAACTCTGTTCCTGTACCTTTATCTACTCTGGTGATTTGCAGAAAATATTATGGTCTTGAGGAAGAAGAAAGTTTTAGCTGCTCTTCAGGAAGGAAAAGGAAGAGAGCTGTAAGAATAGAGCAGTTGGCACCTGCCTCTCACATATAGATGCATGAAGAAAATATTTCCATACTTTTTTGCTCTCTGCGGCACCTGTTGAATCTTTGATTTTTGAAATCCACATTTAACTTTATGGTACCATAAATATACTTGTCCTCCATAACAATTCTACTAACTGTATAGGAGCAATTGCCTTAATTTAAGAGCGAGTAGACAACATTTTAAGTTAAACAAGTTTATACACACTTTTAGGGCTTAGAAAGCATAGAGGATGGCATTGGATATCAAAGGAAAAGCTGCTACCAAGGCAATGGTCACAAAAGACGGGTTTGAGCCTGGGCCAAAAAAATAACTCAGACGCATCTCTCCCTGGCTCACTTGAAGATGAAGTGAGGGAGGGGGAGAAGCACATTCAGACTTGCCAGATTCTGTTACCATGGATGTTACAATATGACCTACATGGCATTATTTCTTGGTCTGATCTGTCTTTTTTTTGTTCTGACAGGTTTATAGTTTTATTGATTTTATGCTTCTCATAAGATGAAAGTGTTTTGTTGATTTTGGCAGTACTGTAGTGGTGAAAGGAGCTCTGGAACCAGACAGGGCAGATATATGTGGTTTTTAATATTTTAAAGATAAACCCTTTCTTTTTTCTCTGCAGGTTGTTTCCATGTCCCTCGTGCTCTCTATATGTGTGAAGAAATTCTGAAATCCTTGCTGGAAACAAAATCTGCCATTCAGAAATGAAATGTTCTTTTGACATTTGTAAAAGGCTGTATTTTCTGCATTTTCTGCCCTCAGGAGAGTCTAATTATAAAAATGATCTTCTCTGATCATTTTGAAACTCACCCTCAAAGCCACCCATGTCTCATTTAAGAAAGCAAACATCTATTTTTACTCATGATTTTTTGCTTTTAGATATTTTAGAAAAAGGAAGTCTCTATCATTTCTCAATTCAAATTCAAACTGGTTGGTTATTTTTTAATCTGTAATCTGACTAAGTTTGGCAACACCATTATGAATAAATCTGCTAAGTGCTATAGAGCCACATTTATACACTGCTTAAAAGAGCAGATAGATAGTTAAATAATGTAACAATTATTTGCATATTCTATTATGGTGGGAAAATATTTTAATCTCTACTTGCTCTGTCTGATCATGATTTATTTTCTGGTCATTGCCAAATATGTGCCATTTCATTTAGGTTTGTGCAATAAAGATACAAAATGTTCTCAAAAACATAATATCCCACTTTTATTTTAGTGTACTTAGTGTAGCATAAATACCTCGACTTACAATTGGGACTGGAACTTTCATCACTAAGCATCATGGTTATGTGAATTATGCTTGATTTTATATCTCTTTTTGCCATGGCCATTAATGAAATCAAGTAAGTCATTAAGCAAAGTCAGCTTCTCCCATTAATGTTTCTTTTTGGAAGCTTCCTGAGAAAGTTGCAAATGCGATCATGTGACTCTGGGATGCTGATTTGATCACATGATGCTACAACAGTCATAAGTGTAAGTCACTTTTTTCAGCAGTCATAATTTTGAGCAGTTGTTAAATGAGTGGTTGTAAGTTGAGGATTAGCTATACATAGTGCTAGGTGGATTTGGCTGAGAGGACTCACCAACTCTGGTAGCTAAAGGAAGATCAGATTTCACCAAATCACAGTTCTAGTCCAGCACCTTGACCAATGCACCTTTTTTATATGAAATAACATTTTAAAAAATAAAACAGCATTTTGATCCACTTGCTTCCAACTTTTATTCTGAGGTAATTTAGAATGGTATTCTTAAACAGCATTCCCCAACCCTTGCAGCTTGGCCTGTGTGAGCAGCAGGCTGGCCCACATGCATGCATAGCTTGACTGCGAGTTGAGCTGTGCATGCATGTGCATGTGTGCCAGCTTGCCACTTGTGTGAGTTGAGCTGCATTTGCGCATGCACCGCCCAGCCCTGGTCTGATAGCCCAGTTACAAATAGACTATGGCCCAGTAGTAGGCTGTAGCCCAGGAGCTCGGGACTCCTGTTCTAAAATGAATGAACTTCTACACCCAGAAGAAGCTTCCTGCAGTAAAGCAAAAGGTAGCAAGCTTACCTGCCAGGTTTTGTAGTGCTCCTGGGGCTGAAATAGTCGGAATTCAGTGCTGTGGTACAAGAAATGTCCAGTTAAATTTTCAGTGGGTTTGATTAGGATTTGTTCCTTCTCCAGTAAAGTCCAGAATGATAACTGAATTTATAGCCAGTCTAAGATAATAGATCTGAGGCAACTGACATCACAAAGCATGTTAAATACCCACATTCAGAATGACTACAGTAATTTTCAATTTGTCCATATAACTAATTTACTACTGTCAGATTTGCCGGTTTGTAACTTTCTTATCCAATGCAGTTCTTCTTTTAGGCAGGACACAGATCCCTTTAAGGCAGTGGTCCCCAACCTTTTTTGTACCAGGGACCAGTTTCACGCAGAAACACTTTTTCAAGGGGGGGGGAGAGACTTTTTCAAGGAGGGGGGGAGGGGGAGGAGTTCGAGTTTGGTGGTTTGCTTGCAGACGTTTCATTACCTGACTAGATAACATCTGATGTTGTTACCTAGTCGGGTAATAAAACGTCTGCCAGCAAACCACCAAGTTCAGGGAGGCTCAGGACAAGTCCCTGCAGGATGGCTGAGAAGCCCCGCCTCTCAGCCCTGCCTCCCTCAGCCTCATCCCTCAGGTGTCTGACTCGTTCCTCTCTCAGTCGCTCTCTCGCTCCTCCACCAGCCCAGGAAGAAACTGCTTCAAAGAAGCCGGCAGGGTGGCTTTTCCTGTCGGCGCAGCTCCTCCGAAGCACCCGTTCACCCCCACCCCGCCGCCCGCAGTTCAATCCAGTGCTCCGTTCTGCCTGCCTGCCTGCCTGCCTGCCTTCGTTTCTGGTTGTTTCGGAGCAGCTTCGGCTGACTAAAAGAGGCGAATAGTTATTATTCTCAGCCAAAGCTGCTCCGAAACAACCAGAAACGAAGGCAGGCAGGCAGGCAGAACGGAGCACTGGATTGAACCGCGGGCGGCGGGGTGGGGGTGAACAGGCACTTTGGAGGAGCTGCGCCGACAGGAAAAGCCAGGCGGGAGGAAACCGAAGCCGCTGAGCCGGAGAGCAGGACAGGCTTTGGTTGCTTCCTCCCTCCCCTTCTTTCATTTGTGTCCTTGATCCCTGATCCCAGCAGCATTCACCGAAAGCGAAGAAAGCCGCCATTTTTATTTTATTTTTATTTTCTTTGCGGCCCGGTACCAAATGATCCACGGACCGGTACCGGTCCGCGGCCCGGTGGTTGGGGACCCCGCTTTAAGGGACAGTTCACTAGCACTTTTAAAACTTACTTATTGGATATGCAAAAAAGGCTTCCTTCGGTATCACTTCCAAACTGAGCACTGCAAACCTTTGGCCTCCAGACCAATGTTAAAAAAGGATGTAGGTATATTCTTTTAACTTGGCATTAGGGATCTTCTTGTTTGTCTCGCATTGAATGTTTCCTTTGCGTATTTGTGCGTGAGTGCGTGTACCCATGTATCCAGCATTTTTTTCCCCGTCTGTCAATTGAGTCTGATTCTTGAAGACTGCCTGACAGGTCCCTGCAGTTTTCTTGGCAAGGTTTTAAGAAGTGTTTTACCTTTGCTTTCTTCCTAGCACCGAGAGAGATCAACCAGCTGGGTTTGTGCCTGAGACAGGACTAGAACTCACATTCTCTTGGTTTTAGCCTGATGCAGACATGATTCCATAAAATTTCTTGACTAAATAGAAGATATAGAAATATTACTAATAAACTTCTGGGCTACCTAATAGCCTGGATTTCATCTTTTAACATCTCATTTTGAGGAATAATTGGTAAGGGTGGAAAGCAAGAAGTAAGATCTGTTTTTCTGTGCTTGCACTGCCATATTTTTAATTGCCTCCTCTTTTTAGGCAGATTCATTGGGAATTAAAACTCGGCATGCATATTGTTCTAGCTTTAAATTTTATTTTGGATCATATTAAGGTTGCTTAACTCTGTACATAAAACGATTGACTGAAGAGTAGTAAACCTGTGGCCCTTCACTAGGTGTAGCCAATGGTCACATGGCATGATGACAGAGCAAGGGTCTCCAACCATGGCAACTTTAAGCCTGGCGGACTTCAACTCTGAACTGGCTGGGGAATTCTGGGAGTTGAAGTCTGCCAGGCTTAAAGTTGCCATGGTTGGAGACCTCTGACATAGAGGACCCCAGATCTCCAGCACTGATCCCCTTGCTGAATTTGTCCTAGACAGAAATTCTACTGACAAAATGGTTAGAGGAACTTCATCAGCTTTTCTTTTTTTATCTAAAATCCGTGTAGGGTGTTCATTAGTGAACTTTGCTTGTTTAATGTATTTATAAGCAAGATAGTTTATCATTTATTTGGCAAATTCAAGTTTTCAGAGTACTTCAGACATCTTTTGCTGCAGTCTTCACAACAGTTTTGGTGTCATACTGTAAATTGAGGAGAAAGGAAAAGTTCTAAGCCTCAGGATGACTTGCCAATAGTCTAAACATATGACAGTGGTAGGATATCTGTAATTGGGAGATTTCTTTCTATTTTAACTTCCTAATATGTAATCTTTCAGATTAGGGCTTCAGGCTTATTAAACAGCAGTTTATTCCCTTGAAAAAACTATCACATTGCATGGTTTTTGGCTTATTTCTAATAATAAAAATTTAAAAACAAGGTCTGGTACTTGCTGTATTACCTACTGCTTCCTAAAATAAAGGAACTGTATATGAAACAAATTTTAAACAGGGAGGGGACCATACAGATTAAGCCGGTTGTTTGTAAGAAACTTAATCTACTTAAACAATTGCAACCTGGCATGCAAAGGGTCATTCAGATGTCACACCATCAAGAAAGGTTCATTTATAGTCTCTACCATACTCTTCCCGAGTTCAGAACTCGGCAACTAATCTAACTGAAGTGCATTCTTTTGCTGTGGTAGAATAGCTGCTATTCACTACAGGCTCCACATGATTGCCGTCTTCTGGAAACAGAAGGAACTATTGCTATTGATCAAATTTACACTCTCATTCAACAAGCATTTTCTAAACAGGCCTATAAAATCTACTAACTCCCTAGGACCTACATTATGCTTTTTTAAAAGAAATTGTTTCTTTCAAACCTAAACAAACTGTTCAGTAGCAGCAAAGCTTCCAGATGAAGCTTCTATTATATAGTAATCCTGCCTCACTCATTATAGATTTGAAAAAAACATTTCTCCTTGTAACTCTTGGTATTTTCACTGTAACTGTTTCTAAATCATTAACTTTTAAAATTATCAGTCCAAAGATCCCAAGTGCACTGTTTAATCTTTCTGCCACAAAATTCGGTTGATAATATACTTGCATGTTGTGTGATGGTTGTCAATACTAGAAGCCCCCATTTGTAGCACAGAAGCCTTAATTTGCCAAATTAACCCTTTGCTAAATATGGCAGTTGCTTCAACCAAATTGTCAGATGGAATTATTTAATGTACTTTAGCATATGAGAATATAGTGTAACTAAGCATTTCAGATAACCTCCTCCTTGCCAGTTCCAAGATTAAAATACTGAAACTTCCCAGAGAAAATGAAACGTCTTTTACAGTTATTTGGTTATGCAGAAAGAATGGATGATAGAGCTAAATGCTATTATCTACCTCTACCAGCAGAGCTGGCTGAAAATGAAAAAGTTGCATCTATCTATCTATCTATCTATCTATCTATCTATCTATCTATCTATCTATCTATCTATC